CCAGCCCTCCCTCCTGGGCGTGCACGCTGCCCCCCACACCAAGAGCTGGAATCTGACTCCCCTCCCTTTAAGTCTGGGCTGGCCTTAGGAGTTTCTTGACTGAGAGAACGTAATGTTAGTGACATTCTGGGACATCCAGGGCTAGGTCCTAAGAAGCCTGCAGCTTGCATCTGGGACTGTTGGCTCTGGGGGAAGCTAGTGCCATACAAGAGTGCAATGACCCTGAGACCTCCATACTTGGAGGAAGCACAAGACACCTGAAGAAACCCTTGCAGGATGAAATTCCAAGTGGAGAGTGTGAGGAAGCCTCATGCTGGAAGCCTAAACTCCAGCCCTGGCTGTTCCAGCTGATGCAACTGGAGCGAAAACAAACTATCTAGCTGAGTCCTTCCTGAATTCTGGTCCCAGGAAATCATGAGCAAAATCAATTATTGCTTTAAGCCACTAAGTAACTGAAATAATAAGCAGTAAGTAACTGCAACAGTCCACATCATGGTTGGATGATTTGTTAAAAATTTCTAATTAGTTGCCAACATTAAAAAATCCAGGCTGCATGTGAAAATCAGAATCTCAGCTTTCTTTAAAACCCAGAAGCCCCTGCAGCCCTAGGCATGCATGTCTGCAGGGCACAAGTAAGGGGCTGGAGCTCGGGGGCCCCCTCCATGCCAGGCCCAGCTCTCCAGGGCACCCTAGCCCCCACCACACCCTGCTCCACTCCTTGAGGTCACCTAGCTGGCCTCAGGCTCCCTGGCCTCACCCCCCACTCCCTCACCACCTGCCTCCTTTGCTCCAGTCAAATGGCTACTTGCAACTCCCACCCCCAACAGGAGACACTGTTTCAAGCCCCCTTGCCTTTGTGCACGCAGTTCCCTCTGCCTGGAAGGCCCTTACTCTTACGTCTGCATAACAGCTATGCACCCTTCACACTCAACTTAAGTCAAACCTCCAGAAGCTTTCCCTGACCTCTGGGCTCCTGGGCCCTGTGTTTACCCCATCCTCTCACGTGTCACCCGCAGGGACTATGGCATACCCCTTTTCCCCAGCACTCCATGTACGGAGGCCTGGCATACAGGAAACGTTTGCTGAATGACTAAATAAACAGTTCCATGACGAAGGCAGTTTTGTCCCCATTCCACAGGGGATGAAACTGGGGTTTACGTAAGTGATCTGATCACTGCCTCTCTAAGACCAGCAGCCGCTAACCCAAGGGCTGAGATCCTTTTTCTTTATGGGTCTTCAGACCCTGTTATGGGTTGAATTGTGTCCCCTCGAAAGATATGATAAAATTCTAACGCTTGGTACCTTTAAATGTGTCCTTGTTTGGAAATAAAGTCTCTGAATATGCGATCAAGTTAAGATGAGGTCATTAGGGGAGGGGAGTCGGACTACAGCTCTTGATGGTGGGGGAGGGCAGTATGTGAGTGCAGGAGGGAGGGAAGGAACAGATGGTGGCTGTCTTTGGACACAGGCTACCCCAACGGTGACACAAGGATTTTGGGCTCAGTTTTAAGTCTGTGATCCTTCCCCTCTCCCCAGCCTCCTGGAGGTCTGGGTGGCCTTGCCGTCCTGGCCACTTCTGGCCATAGAGAAACAATGCCCCCTTTCGCTGCTCCAGGGGCCCGAGGGCTGTGTGGAGCGGGGCTGGGGTGCTTTCCGGGTCGGGGAAAGGGCAGCTGGGAACCTCCAGGCTCCGGGACGAGGTGGGGTCCACCAGCTGCATCTTCATAGCATCAGCGCCCGCACCCTGTCCCACGCCTCGCACACAGCCTCATACAGCGCCCGGGAGGGCACCTCTGCACAGGAGGGCTTGCCAATAACTGGTGTCCACTATATACATCCAAAAGGGTGTCTTTTTAACGCTTAGCTTTTGAGAGGAAATCTTTCCAGCATGGTTTATACACTCTATGGGTCTTAAGCCCTAAACAGGAATCACATGTAATGATGTGGGGAGGGAGAGGCAGCTTGGGCTTTGGAATCACATGGATCTGGTTTCAATCACTCAATCAGTTAATCACCCCGGCGTGCACTCCTGACCCCGCCCAGCCCTCCAGTTTCTATCTTCTACAGGGGCCAGGCCTTCCCAAGGCACCGTTTCAACTGGTAATATATGTGCCATTGCCCTGCTCAATAACCTGCAATGGCTCCCACTGCCTACTGATTACATGGGAACTTCTCACCCCAACAGTCAGCACCTTCTCTAACCTGGCCCTTGGCTCTCCCTCTCAGTCCTCTTGTGCCCTCGACCCTCCAGCTCTCTGAAGGGCTCTGGGCTGCCCTACCTCCATGCCGCTCCACCTAGAATACCCTTATTCCCAGGCCCACCAGGGGGAATCTGCTGTAGTTCCAATCCATCTAGAGCCCTCATTCTCCAAGTCCTGATCATGACAGGTGTTAGTGGGGAGGGCATCGGACATCTCGCATCCGCTGTCTTTTCCCACTAATGTCTTTTTATGAACATACATCTTGTCTCTTCCTCATCCAATCACCCAACAAATACTTGCTGAGGACCTACTATGTGCCAGGTACCTTGCCCGGCCCAGCACTTGAGCCATTCCCCTCACTGGCCTTGGCCTGGGCCATCATTTCTCCAATTCCCTAAAGCACCCAGAGAGAAAATCTACATCCCACTCAACTTTGTCGCCCCGCATCCTTGTCCCAGTGCCTGCCACGGAGCTTGGCACAGGCAGGTACTCAGCACTCGCTGAACAAGTGCGTGGATCCGCTAACACTTCTCCGGGAACTGACCCCCGCCCCCCGCTGAGAGAAAGACTGTGGTGGGGGGCAGCGACTGTCACACACACCCTGGTGGTCCTCGTGCACACCCAGAGCAGGTGCTTAGCACTCACTCCGGCCAAGCACTGCTAAGTGCAGCAGATACAGAAGTGACAGTTCCCACCCTTATGGAGGTGACTGGAACAGACCCAACACCAGAAGGCAATGCAATAGAGTACGACCGGCAGGGCTACGAGAGAGGCACAACGGCAGAACCACTTCCGAGGGCGGGGGTGGGGGGAGATGAACCATTTCCAACATGTCTGTCCTGTCCCTCGTACTGTGTCTTTCTGAGGATGAAACAATAAGGGGGAAAAACACTCAGGCCCAGATTGGAAACCCAGTTCTCCTTACTAATGGTGTGTCCTTGGGCAAACTATTTAATCTAGTTTAAGTTTAGTATCCAAAACTGGGCCTACGTTGTAGACTTGTAAGGATTTCCTGTAACAAAGTGCCAAGTGCCCAGCGGCTAGCACACAGTAGGTGCTCAGCAAACCTCAGCACCTGTTCCCATTGTGTGGTACTTCATGTTTCTTTGCCGTTAGCACAGTACTGAGCATGTAACCAATGCCAAACATCCATCCAGGGGAATGTATTGACCAGGTGGAATTTGGATTGTAAACAAAAAAGAAAAATAAGAACCCAGTCTCTGTGCAGGTTCTGCCGAAAGCACTACAAAGCCCTGTTTATTTTGTTGAGTTACCATAGCAACTCCTGATGCTCCAGCCAGCCTCAGGGTTAGCAATGATCAATTTATCTTGTAACCATGGAAACGCCAGTATTTCAGCAGGATCCAGAGGGGGGAGGCAGAGACAGACATTGTGTGCACTCTTCTCCCCTCTAGAAATAAATTCTGGAAAGCCTCCTCAGTTATCATGTGGCCACTGAAAATGGTGTCTGCATGGCAATATTTATAAGCATGGGTTTAGAGACAGGAGATGGAAAATCAGGCAAAAAAGGGCCTGCGATACTCAGAGAGCAAATAGCATTATTGACAACTTGTTGGGAGACCGCCAAAGAGCTGGGATCTGGGTTCCTTGGAGCCAATTTGGGGTTCTGCATCCTTTTATGCCTCCGTTTGGGGACTCGATGTCCACACACAGTCTGGATTTTGCTGTTACTTTTTAAACAGGCTTCCATCGCTGGTGAAGTTTGGGGAAGAGGAAAGTGTCCCCTCAAACTTCATTCCCTGTAAAAGAAAACAGCAGCAAGTGGGGTCCCTGCCATACACCCAGGATAGAGAAGGGAGCCTGGGCGGCCTGCCTACCTCTCCGCTCCCAACGTAAGCGACCCACACAACCAGAGAAGGTCCAAGGTCTGAATTTGGTACGCTGGGACTTGTTCTCCCAAACCAAATGCAGCCCTTCCCTAGAGCCAGGCTGTGGTTAGCACTGGGTCTTCCCAAGGGCCACCAAAGCATGAGAAATTGGGTGTTCATCTTCGTTCTGGCTCAAGAGAGTTAAGGCACAGAAACACAACGACCTCCCAAGCCCAGAACTCAAGGGGATTCTTGTGGAACAAAAACCAAGCAGTGAGAGGTCATTTGTTTTTCCTGCCATGGGGAGCCTGTTTTGCGTGGAGGGAAGGGTTATGGTCGCGCTGGGAACTGCTGGCTAATTAGCCTCAGCACAAAGCGAATAGGGATAAAACCACCGATGCACTTCCAGGCTTGGCCTGTCACACAACGCGAGTCACACCGCCTTCCTCAGGCGGCAGGGGCTGTGGTCCCCACCCACAGGGGAGAAAAGTGGTCGGGGGGCGTCAGAGGTTACCGACAAGTGACTAATTACCGACGCCTCGGGGAAACAGCGTAGAAGAGCTAGGACGTCCACCCACCCGTGTCCGCGCGGGTCTGGACCGCCCCAGCCTTGGAGGGCTCCGGGACACAGGAAGGGGGATGGCAGGTGGGGGATGGGCCCGGAGGGGGTGACTCGGGCTGCCCAGGCTCCTCGCAGCCTCCCTGCACCCCGGGTGGGAAGGGCTCGAGCTGCGGGTGCGTAGGGTGCACCGCCGGCCCCACCCGGGGACAGCCGAGCTCGCCGCCCCGGACGCGCGCACCAGGTGGGGGTGCCCGGCTTGGGACAAAGGACCAGGACAGGATCCCGGGCGGGCGCCACTGCCCGGCCAGAGTCCTCCCGGTGCGCCTAGTCCGGCGGGGAGGGAAAGACCGTGGCCCCGAATCTCCCCAAACTTGGCGGCCCAGGGCACTTGGCGAAGGCGCCCGTTACCTGCGCAGCCATAAAGGAGAGATCCATGGTGTCGCTGCTGCCGCCCGCGCTCCAGTCCTCGCTGCTGCTGCTGCTGCTGCTGGTCCAGCCACCTGCACAGCTGGCCGGGAGCGGGCCGAGCAGTGAGCAGGCGCGCCCGGGCCCCTGGGGTGGTGGCGGCCACCTCACCAGCCTTGGCGTGGCGGTGCGTCCCGAGCCTGCACCGTGCCCCCGGGCGGCTCTGGGCTCGGGGCTCCAGACACAGACTGGGCGGAGGGCCCCGAGCGCGGGGCGGGGCGGGGCGGGGCTCGGGGGACTGGGCGCCCCTCCACGTGACCACTCCCAGTCCCACCCCCGGGGCAGGGCCAGCGAGAACCCCTGAGCGCTCACAATCATCTTCCTGTGTGGGCTGCAAGGGGAAACTGAGGCCCGAGGTCGCCCAGCTGGTTGGTGGAAGAACCAGCCTGGAACCCAGGTCCAGCTCTGTTGGCGCCCGACGCATGCAGCCGAGCTGAGCGCGCCCGGGGCTGTGGGCAGTGCTTTCCTCAGGCTGGCATGCCTTGCCCTGACGGCTGAGGACCAGGATCAGGGTGAGCGGGCTTTCCATGCCAACTCTACGCCCACAGTCAGGGTGCTCCCGGCTCTGGAACTGGGCAGAACGGGGTTTAAATCCTAGCTCTACTTTGTTGTGCAAGTTAGTGTCTCATTGAGCCTAGATTTCTTATTATGTAAAATAAGGGTAACAAAACGTAAGAATTAAATGAGATAACGTGCACAGCACATGAGTGTCCTCAATAAATGTGAGCACTAACATGGCTAATGATATAAGGGAGACTACCTTGTCAATGTCCTCTTCTAGGATTGCACAGTGCACAACTTGCACAACCGGTACTCTGTGGCTCTGTTATGACTTTCTCTTACCTCAAACAAGTATCCAAAACCATGCAGATGCCATAGCTAAAATGAGAACAGCAGAGATGCCCAAAGAGGCCTATTGCAGCCCAGGACTCCCAGACTTTGTCACAGGCAAGGAAGCTGTGGCACAGAGATGGAACAGTTTATTTTCAAGGTCACCTAGCAGCTGGGGACCCAGCAGGGGCTGTGAGAATGGGACCAGGACCTCACTGGCCACAGAGGGCTTTCAAGATGTCCTATCTTCCCTGGATTTTTTTCTTCTCCCTTTCTTTCTCTCTCCTCTCTGTCCCCTTCTTTCTTTCTCTTGTTTGCTCTTTTTTCTTCCTCGCTTCTCTCTTCCCACCTTTCTCCTTTCTCACTTTGCTTGCCTCCTCCCTTCCTTCCTGGGTCTCAAAACCTTCCAGTCCCCTGGCCTCAGCCAGTCCTGTGCCTCCCCACCCATCATCCTGCTGCCTCCCAGCCTAGCTCGCGTGCCTGCCCAAACAGCCCACGGCAAGAGCGGCCTCTCTTGGTCCCATCCTTCCTGTGTCCAGTGGCCCATCAGCCTGCTCAGGACCTTCCACAGCCCCTTGTTTCCTGTAAAAATATTATGTACTTTTATCTTGAAGTCTCATCTGTACAGAAGGACGTGTATGTTGTGTACGTACAATTTAAAGAATAATAAAGCCCCTCGCGGTTTAAGAACTAGAACAATGAGCAATAGTCTTCAAGTCCTGGTGGGTCTCTCTCCAAATGCATCTCCTCCCCACTCCCTCTCCAGCGTCACCGCCATCCTAAGTTGTCACGTTAATTGTTCTCTTGCTTTTCTTTAGAGTTTTGCCTTTACAGGTTACCTGTTTCAAGTCTTTATAAAATAAAATTGCTGTTTGGTGACTTCCCCTCCCCTTTTTCATTCAGCATGGTTTGTGCAGCTGATGTCTGTTGTTTTTCACTGCTGTACAATATCCCGTGTGCGTGTCTATATCGTATGTGTATCAATGCACTAGGCCTTTGGTGGTGATTTTCATCATCTCCAGGTTTTCTGCTGCAGCAAACACTGCTGCTATGAACATTCTCAAACGTGTCTCCCAGTGCACAGGTACAAGGGGCTCTCAGGGAATACGATAGGGATGGACCTGTAGGGCTGTGTGGTCAGCTCATCTGCATTTTCACCAAATGATGCTCATTGCTTTCTAATTTCCTATTTCCAAGGAAGTTTTATCCATTTTACTGTCCTACCCAGAGTATGCAGGGGTTCTTATTGCTCCACATTTTCACCAACACTTTGTATTGTTAGATTTTAAAAGTTTTGCAAATATGATAAAATGTGTTTCATTTGAATTTAATCCTTATTTCTATAATTACTGATGACATTAAACATCTGTTGGTCAGTCCCATTTCCTTTGATGAGAAATGCCTGTCACAAGGTCTTTTGTGCTCTTTTTAAAAATTCAGTTGTTGATTTTTTTCTTACTGACTTTTTGTAAAAGTATCTATGTATTTTAGATACTAATCTTGTCGGTTATAGGTGTTTAGATATCTTCTTTTATTTGTACGTTTTATTTCACTCTGTTATATATTTTGATGAACAGAAATTCTTAATTTTAATTTGGCCAAAATTTATTACTATTTTCCTTTGCAATTAGTCCTTGTTTAAGAAATCATTTCCCAACTTAAGAACATAAAGATACTCTCCTATAATTTTTTAGTAAAAATTAAAACATTGTTTCTTTTCATATTTCAGCTCTTTTATTACTGATTTATTTTTATTGTGGGGTAAGGAAGCAATTTTATTTCCCCCTTATGAATATTCGATTATCCCAGGCCCTTATTGGGCAGACTAGCTCTTTCCTGTTGATCTGCAACACCAAATTTGTCAGGGGCCGTCTAGGTATGGGTCTGTTTCTAGGTTGTTCTGTTCCATTGGTTGTTCATCTATCCCAACACTAATGCTATTATGATTTAGATACTATAGCTTCATACTAGTTGATATATAGTATGGCAAGTTTCCTCACTGTTCTTTTTTAGAAATTTCCTTGCTACTTACTCTTGCCTCTTTGCTCTCCTGGATACATTTTAGAATTACCTTGTCAGCTCCCTGAAATAACCTGGACTTGAACCCAATTATGTTAACTCTTTTTGTAAATTGACATCTTAAAGATAAAAAATATTTCTCTTTAAGAACAAGGTACGTCTCTTCACAAACTTAGCTCTTCTTTAACATTTTAATATTAAGATCTTGCAAATCTTTTGCTGAAGTATTTCATGGTGATTTTCAACGAAAATTTTTATTTTGAGTTGATTGTAGATTCGCATGCAGTTGTAAGAAATAATACAGAGATCTCTTGTATCTCATGCACCCTCTACCCAGTTTCCCCCAATGGTAACATCTTGCAAAATTCCACAATATCAGCACCAGGATGTTGGCATTGACATGGCAAAGATACGGGACGTTTAAATTCGTCACCCCAAGGAGCCCTCAGTTTGCTCTTTTACAGCCAGCCCTACTTCCCTCCTACCCCAGCCACTCTTTAACCATGACAACCACTAACCTGCTCTCCATTTCTATAATTTTGTCATTTCCAGGATGTTGCATAGATGGAGTCATGCAGTTTATACCCTTTTGGGATTGGCATTTTTCACTTAGCATAGTTCTCTGGAGATCCATCCAGTTTGTTGCCTGTATCAGTAGTTTGTTCCTTTTCATTGCCAGGTAGTATTCCATTTATGGATATACCGTAGTCTGTTTAACCATGTCCTGTTGAAGGACATCTGGGTTGTCTCTAGCTTTTGGCTGTTATGCATGAAGCTGCTATAAACATTCATGTACAGGTTTTTGCATGAACATGTCTTCAGTTCTCTGGGATAAATGTCCAGGAATTCAATTGCTGGGTCATATGGTAGTTACATTTTTCTTTTCAAAGAAACTGCCCAGCTGCTTTCCACAGTGGCTGTACCATTTTACTTTCCACCTGCAACGCAGGGGTGGTTTGTCCACATCCTTGCCAGCATTTTGTGTTGTAATGGTTAATTTTATGTGTCAACTTTAATGGAGTGCCCAGATTAAACATTATTTATGGGTGTGTATGAGATGGTGTTTCTGGATGAAGTTAGCATTTGAATTGGTGGAGTCAGGAAAGTAGATTGCCCTCTCCAAAGTAGGAGGGCATGTCATGAAATTAGCGAGGGCTTCAATGGAACAAAAAAGCAGCAGAAGAAGGAATTTGCCTTATTTTACTACCTCCCTGCCTAAGCTGGGACATCTCATCTTAACTAGCCCCGCTCTCGGACTGGGATTTATATATAACGTGTGCTCCCCTGGTTGTCAGGGGACTTGCACTGAATTATAGCACTGGCTGTCCTGGGTCTCCAGCTTGCAAATGGCAGATTATGGGACTTCTTAGGCTCTGTGATTACATGAGCCAATTCTTCATAATAAATCTCTTATATATCTATACACATCCTACTGGTTCTGTTTCTCTGGAGAACTTTGACGAATACAAGCATTGTCATTATTTTTTACTCTAGCCAATCGGATAGATGTGTCATGCTATCTCATTGTGGCTTTACTTTGTATTTCCCTCGTGGCTAATGATGTTGAACACCTTTTCAAGTGCTTACTTGCCGTCTGTGCGTCCTTTTTGGTAAGGTGTCTATAAATGGATCATACAGAATGTACTTTCTCTGGATAACTCCTTTGTTCAGCACGATGTTTCTGAGACTCACCCATATTGTTGTCTTTATGGGCAGCTCCATTTTTACTGCTATGCCCTATTCTGATGTGTGGATGGACCACAGTTTGTTTGTCCATCCTCCAGTGGATGTTTGGGTTGTTTCTACGTCTTTGGCTATTATGACTAAATGTTTATGAACGTTTGTGTGTAAGTCTTGCATAGATATTTTGTTTGCTTAGTTATGTGCCTATGAGAAACTGCGAGTCTGTTTTACAAAGTGTTTGTACGTGTTATGCTCCCCACAACAGTGCATGAGAATTCCAGTTGCCTCACATTCTCGCCAGCACTTGGTATTTTCACTGCTGTTTTTTT